GATATATTGAGGTCTTATTATACTATAAATACATATATAATTATTATGTACATAGATATTTCACTTGCACAAATGCATATCAGTTCAAGATTAAAACCTTCTTCTCTTGCTCCATGTGGGAGCATTCCAACAATCATTGTTCCTTCTGAAGGTGCTGTTTCCTATGTACTCTCAACAAATTCATCTTTGTCTGCCCAAACCCACACGGTCTTTTCCTTTTCCATGTGCAATTTTTGGATGCATTTGAAGACATCCAGGGGTGCAGCTTCTTTTACCCGACTGCCCCACTGCACCCATGGGGCTCCGACCTCAGCCCACTCCAGAGCTAGGGAACTCCAGGGAAGGGCTTCCCAGCCGGAATTTCTGATGGGACTGATTCCTCACATTGACACTGAACAAGTGACATTTTGTTGGCATCTGGCCAGACTGTGCCAGTTTTGTTTTACCAGTGGGCAGGGTCAGCACCAAAGCCACAGACTCCAACTGAAGGAATCAGTGTCATTTCCTGCAGTTCAGAGCAGCAAAGAATCGCAACAGGAGCAGCTCAGCAATGCACCCAACCATCCCCACCAAAGATTGCAGCAGTGATTAGGAAAGATCCAGCAGCATTTACCCTCAGCCTTTACCATCCCCCAGACCCACACAGCAGCTGGGGAAGCTGTCACAGCCAAGGGCTGCAGAGCCACTCCTGGGCACTGGGAATTCCTGCAGGTGCCTCCAGCCCCAGGTGAGGCTCCAACCGCGCTGGGAGAGGGCCCAGCTCTGACAGTGCTGAAGGAACAAACTGACAGCACTGCTAGTGTGGCAACATCTGCTTTCATCCTCCTCTTGGGTTCCTCCCAAAGCCTGGCCAGGGCTCAAGGAGGAACCAAGGGAGGTGACTTTGACCATACAGCCCCAAACAAGGCCAGATGTCAGATTTCATGGCCTTGTCTGGCTTCTAAATACACAAAGGTCAATCCGTGTTTCCCTAATGAGTGGCTACATCTATCTCAGTGCTAATGACCATGCATATTTCATCAGGGAGCAGATACAAAGATAACCTTTGCTTGGAAGGTTCATCCAGAGGCCATCCTTGGCTCAGGGCCTGCTGTTCAGGCCGCACTCGGGGCTGGTGTCCAGACCTTGGCACTTCAGGGGCGAGGTTTAGTGCTGGGCTTGGCACTGCTGGCTGAATGGCTGCACTGGGTGAGCTCAGAGGGCTTTTCCAACAGAAAGGATTCTGTGGCTCCATGCTAATATCCACTGCATTCAGCTGGGGCTATTTTAGCAGCATTACTTTGCTCAGAAAGTCTCCTCTTGCCCAGGTCCTGTGGCCTGAGGCTTCAGCTCCTTCAGCTCCTGGTGCTGAGCTGCTCATGCTGAACGAGACGAATCGGAGAGAAGAGCACAGTCCATGCAATTCCTTCTGGGACATGGAGAGGGGAGGCTGTGCAAACAGGAGCATTGTTTGCTGTGGCCTCCTCTCTGCCCTTCACGTCTTTCAGCGCTTTGAACCAGCCAAGAGCTTTCTCCAAGAGTGCAATGGAGCAGCTGCTCCTGCTCCCAGGCCTGGCTCTCTCCAGTCTCTGCCCTTGCCTGGTTCTGTCCCTCTTGCTGTGCCCTCTGTTTTCCCAGGGCTCGCTGGCTGCTGCCCAGGACTGTGGCACTGGCACAGATCCAGTGCTCCAGAGCCTCCTTTCTGTGCCCTTGGAGCTGCCTGGGCACAGCAGCCTTTTCCATCTGGAAGCTCCCCATGGACAGGGAGTGCCCAGCTCCGTTCCCTGCACAGCCTCCAGGAGCCCAGGGCTGCCATCTCCAGTCCCTGCTGGCACTGGGGGCTCCCAGGTGCCTCAGGCTGCTGTGACACCGCTGCACACGGGAGGGAAGAGGGGCAGGGGCTGTGCTCAAAGTCAGCTCCATCTGCTGCTGTGGTTGGTGCTGCTGCTGCTGCTGCTGCTGCTGTGGGGTCATTTGTGCAGCCCTGGCCCAGAGTCAGGGATCAGATCCTGCCAGTCTCTTCCAGCCCTGGCTGCTCAGAGTTTGGGCCTTGGAGCCTCAGGTGGCCAAAGGCAGCTGCTGCTGGTCCCTCTGTGTGCCCGTGTTCAGCAGTGCTGCTCCATCAGTCTGTGCCCAGCAACGGGGAAAAGCCTCAGCCCTGCAGGGCCAGGAGCTGCCGGGCTCTGCCTGAGCAGCTCAGCCAGCAGGAAGGGAGCTGCTCCACACGGGAACCAGGAGCAAAGGACATTTCTTCTGTAGGACATGTTTTCTATTTAGAAGGAAAAAAAGGAAAAAGGAAAAAACTAGGTAAATTGTAAAAGATAAGAATAAAATCCAAGTGTTAGTGAAAAAACATAACACAATGTTAGTGAAAAAAACAAAACATAAATGCAAAGACACATTCTTTGCATTAAGAGGTAAATGATCTTTCTCAAAAGAGAACTCAGTTCTTTACATTGTAAATGTGCTGATGGCATGGATCCATCTTACTGACCTCAGCAGCCTCTTAAAAGATTTTGGGCTTTGTTCCCAACACTGGTATTTGAAATTGTGCTTGAAGCAAGAGGAAATTGCTTTGTGCCCTTCCAGCTCCAAGCAGGACTGGGAATGGAAACTCTGTCAAACCCCAAATCCTTTAGAAGATCACCTTCCGTCTCACCCTGCAAATGAGCTGCACATTCCTGTTGTAACTGCCAGGAGTTTCTTAGACACACGAAGTCCCATTGACAGCTTTTTGCTCTGGTTTGGCAGTGCAGAAGGGCAATTCTCCATCCATCAGCTCCAGACTGCAGTACCTCAGGAACACGGCCCACTCGCCAGCTTTGGCCCACTCGTGGCACTTCTAGAGAAGGAAGAAAGTGCAACTGCACAATTCCAGCCAATCAAGAAGGAAGAATGGGACAGACAAAACACCCTGTACAGATGCAGGCGTTCAGCTGGGACTGTGGAGAGTTTGAGTTCTTTCCAGTTGCATGTGTGTCCCCAGCTGCAATCTCTGGGCCTGCAGCAGAGTCTCACTCACCTGCCAAAGCAGAAAGCTCAGGCGCTGTGCTCGCAACGGGCTGGTCTGATGCAGAGCTGTCAGAGCAATGTGAGGGCTGAGACCAGCAGAGCCCTGGCAGAGCCCAGAGCAGCCTCAGCACCCGCAGAGCCCGGCTGCAAGGAGAGAAAGCAGAAACCGCCCGTCAGCTGAGGGCTCCTGTGCCCTTGTGCCAAGGCCTGCGATGACCAGGCCATGCTGGCTGCACCCAGAGCTGTGCCCAGAGCTGCCCATCCCTGCTGCCAAAGGCACAGAGCAGGAGGGCAGCACATGTGCCCAGCCTGCAGCCAGCCACAGCACATCCAGCCCTCAGCAGCTGCCCGGAGCAGGATGCTCCTGTGCTCGCTGCCATCTCCCAAAAGCTCTGATCCCATCCTGCCAAGCACACAGGGACCCACCTCACGCCAACCACGGCTGCAAGAAAAGCTGCTCCCAAACCATGGCCTCAGCCTTCTCCAAGGGCACGGCCCATCCACACCACAGCTGCTCCCCAGCACTTCCCCATCCACACTGGACCACCTGGAACGCTTCCTCTGGAATAACAAACAACACATTATTGAAAAGAGTTTAGAGACAAAATGGGAAAACAAGAAAATTGGTAAAAAGTCTTATCTCTGTCAGGGTCTTGAGGAAGGCCCAACCCCTGCATGCCAGGGAAAAACCCAGCCATGGCTGTGGGAAACCCACACTTTCTCTCTTCCCCCCTGCACTGCCCCCCAAAATCACGGTGACCCCAAAGCAAACAAGGGCAGTGGAGCAGCCCAAACCCTTTCTTGCATGCACAGCAAAGCAGCTGTTCACAGGTTCTGGAGTCCTACCTCTGCTCCCACCATGGGGCTTTGTTTGTGTCAGGCTGGCTGCCCCAGCCCCAGCCCCAGCCCCAGCCCGGGGCACAGTGGGTGCTGGGGGCTGTTGGCAGGGCCAGGAGCCCACTCCCATTTCGTACCCACCCCAGCAAATGCCCCACCCTGCCAAAAGCAGCTGGGCAGTCACTGAAGAATTACTTGCATCTGCCCCAGCAAAGGGAGAGCCTTTGGTTCCCCGCCACGCTGGGTCATGCCCAGATCTGGCAGAATTTCCCGGGTGGGACTCATCTGCAAATTCCCTGTGGAGTTTGGCTTTGAAGAAGGTGCCAGAATCAAAGTGCACCACCTTCAGCCTCCAGTGGCCAGGCTGAGGAAGAGCTTGTCATCCTTGATGTCATCCTCGCTGTCTCCAGCAGCAGCAGCAGCAGCAGCAGCAGCATCCCCACCCGGTACAGCTTCTCCAGGGGCTCCTTCTCCTTCCCTGGGGGCAGACCAGCCTCTCAGGGCTCTGCCCAGGGCCCCAGCTGTCAGGGAACCGGGACAAGCAAAACCAGCTGGGATGGCGGCCACCAGTGCTGGGCAGAGCAGCTCAGCCCCAGCACAAGGGCTGTGTGTTCCCATCCCATGACCCCGGTGCAGTGACACAGGCAGCACAAAAAGCTCTGGGTTCCTTTGCTTCTCATTGCCAAGGCATATGTGGAGCAGGAACTTACCAGGGCCCTGGATCAAAGTGTGCCTGTGGCTCTCTCCCTTCTTCTATGGCAGAGGAATATCCCACATCCAAGGATCACAGAACAGGTCTTCCAGTGTGGGTCTGTCCAAGGAGTTCACGGATAAACACCACCTGATCAGGTCTTTGCACTCTGGGAAGAGAAAGCAGAAACTGCCGGTCAGCCAGAGAAGGCTCCTGTCTGCTTTGCCCCACTATTCCCACACCCAGGCCATGCTGGATGTGCTCAGAGCTGGGCCTAAACTTTCCCATCAATTCCCTGTTTTGGAGGAGAGCAGGACATGTGCCACCTCCTCAGCAGCTGCCAGAGCGGGATGCCCACTAGCCCGCTGCTGGCTCCCAGCACTGGGATTCCCCCCATGCCCAGAGAAGAGGATCCACCTTGAGAGAGCCCTTGTGGTAGCGGGAGCTGGCCCCAGCTGAGGTTCTGGCCCCTTCTGAAAGGGTGCTCCCCGCAGACCATCTGGTGCAGCAGGATGCCCAGGGACCAGACTGTTGCTGCCTCGCCATGGTACCAGCCAAAGTCGTTCCATTCCGGGGGGCTGTAGGACAGTGTTCCTATGGAATACAGATGGAGTTCATCAGGGGGATGCTGCTGCTCCCAGAGCCTGGCCCCAGCATCCCTGGGTGTGCGGGGGCTGCATCAGGGGCACACAGCGTGACCACTGCCCTCTCGCCAGCATCTGGGACTTGTGCAAAAAGTTAGGGTTGGAAAAGAAGCCTCTGGTGTTGGAAGAGGGCAGCCCTGGCTAGGCCCGACCATGACATGCAAAGGAAAAACCCACTCCATGCTGGGGAAAAAACATGCCCTTATCCTCCCTGCCTGCATTTCCCCAAAAATATTATGAAGCCAAGGGAAACAGGGCGAGTGAAGCAGCCCAAGCCCTTCCTGTCATCTGCATACCAAAGTGGCTGGGGCAAAGGTTCCGCCCTCCCTCTCTGTTACCCCAACCCACGGGGCTTTTGGTTGGGCTGGCTGCCCCAGCCCAGCCCTAGTCCTGGGCAGAGTGGCTGGCAAAGGCTGCCAGCAGGGCTGGAAGATGGCTGCCCACCCAGCCCTGCTCTAAAGCAACCCAGCTGAAGATTCAGTGTCCTGACTGGCAGCAAAAGGGAGAATCCCCACTGCCACAGCCAGCTTGGGCTGGGAGATGTTGGGCCATGAGATGTCAGCAGCGGGAGCACAGCCCTCTGCAGGCTCACCTGCAAAGTGAGTGTAGACTGTGTCCTGCAGGTAGGTGCCACAGCCAAAGTCAATGAGTTTGGCCTGCCCGGTGTCCAGGTCAACCAGGATGTTCTCTGGTTTGATGTCGCGGTGCAGGACCCCGCAGCTGGTGCAGTGCCGCACGGCCTCCAGCACCTGGCGGAACAGCTCCCGTGCCACCTCCTCAGGCAGGAACCGCCGTGCCCGAATGAAATGATGCAGGTCCTGACACCGCTCTGGCCGCTCCAGCACCATCACGATGCAGTTGGGGAGCTCGAGCCACTCCAGCAGCTGGACCACACCGGGGAAACCAGTGGACACCCTGGCCAGCAGCACGATCTCCAGGGGTGCGCTGGTGCCGTCGGGCTGCGGGAGGAGCACGATGCCGTCAGTGGGGCCGATGCCGTGCCAGGCCTGGGGAAGCCCTCAGCCAGCCCGGGATGCTCTGCGCCCTGCGCTGGCCCCACGCCCGCTCTCTCTCGGGGCGTCCTGGTGGCTCCCACCGTGCCGGGCGCCGGCTCATCCCCGGCCGGCAGCCCCGGCTGCTGGCCCCGCTCACTCACCAGCTCGCCCCAGTGCCGGACGCGGTTCCGTGGCACCCTTTTGATGGCCACCTGCAAGCCAAAGGCAGCAGCGGGGTGAGCTCGCCGCCCGCACTGCGAGCCCCATCCTCCGCCCTCCGCCCTCCTCCTCCTCCATCCCCTCCTCCTGCGCCCGCCGCCGGCCCCGCCGCTCACCGGGGCGCCGTCCGAGAGCCTCGTGGCCGCGAAGACTCTGCCGAAGCCGCCGCGCCCCAGCAGCGATCCCAGCCTGTACCGCTCCTGCAGGGCCTCCTGCGCCGTCCCTGCGGGCGGGACGCGGCTGTCAGCGCTCGGCCCGGGGCCAGCAACGGCCCCCGAGCGCCCCTCACCCGCCCCGGGCCGGCCATGCCCAGGCGTTCCATCTTCGGAACGCGGCACGGGAAGCTCGGGGCTGGCGGCCGCGCTGCCGAGCGGCGGAGCTCGGGCCGGGGAAGCCACAGCGGAGGCGGCGGGAGCGGCCGCGCCGCCTGTGTCCTCCGCGGGCCGCGGGAGGAGCCGGGGCCGGGGCCGGGGCCGGGGCCGGGGCCGGGGTCGGGACTTGACCCTGCGTCGGGTCCGGGGCCGGGCTCGGGCCAGGCGGAGGCAAAGGGCGGCGATGCCGCCCCGGCCCCAGGCACTGATGCCCGCCCAGCAGCGCCACCGCCAGTACAGCCTGAGCCGGGCGGAGGCGAGACCGCGGCGGGACGGCCGGGGCCGGGCACGGGGCAGCCCCGCCCGGGGCCGGGGGCATGGCCCGGCCCGGCAGGGGAGAGGGAGGCGGGGAGAGGAGAGGGACGCCGGGCAAGGGACCCCGAGAGTAGGGTGCCCGACAGCGGAAAAGGGAGAGAAAGAGAAAGAGAGAGAGAGAGAAAGACTATTCAAAACTATCTGTTTTGCTGCTGCTGCCGCTACTGCTGCCGCCGCTGCTGCTGCCGCCGCCGCTGCCGCTGCTGCAACTGAAGCACCGGGGCCGTTTGTCCCCGTGTCTGTTCCCCGCTCGCCCCACGAGCCCCACGTTCGAGCCCCGCGCGCCCCGGGGACAGCCCCTCCGTCTGCCCTAAACACTGGAACTTTGCAGCCTTGAGCCCAGATGCGGAGCCCTGACTCCTGCACACTGGCACAGCGATCTCCTTCCTCGCTGCTGTGCATTGTCCTTGCTGAGGGTCAGACACTGGCGGGCCACCTTCCCTTGGGGTAGGATTCCTACCTGACCCAAGCACTGCACTTACACCTCCAGTGTTGCTTTCCTGTGTGGAAAGGAAAACTGTGTGTAGCTCATGGTTTAGAGTGTCTAAAACTTGCCAAGTCACAGATTTTAGAGGTGAGGTGCATTTGGAATGAATGGGATGGAGAAGCAGTGCAACATGGAAAAGAGGAGCATAGAAATAAATAGAGGAAAACATCTTGGATTGTTTCTTTCATTCTCATTTCCCTTCTGGAAAGCTGTTTCAGTTTTCCAGGAATCATCTGCTGTCTGCTCTTCTCAAGAATCTCTCATGGAGAACAAGGTTGAGCCTCTGTCACAAGATTTGCCACCAGCTGCAGCTTCTCTTAGCTTTCCATAGTTCACAGTGTGTGCAGCAGGACTTTTGCAGCAAAGCAGAACAAATGTTAGGAGAACTTTACATGTCCGTTCTTTTCCTGCTGGGCTGGGGAGTTGTGCCACTGGTGAAGTTTTCATTGTGACTGTTTGTGCTGGTTTCAGGCAAATTTTGGGAGGAAACCTCCAAAAGGGGTCAGTCTAGAAAGCAAGTTCCAGCGGCCCCTCCCCCTACTAGCTGAGGAAAAGACTTCCCTCCAGAGCGGGTTTAAACAATTCCAAGAAAAAGGAAAGTCACAGTCCGAGGAACTTCTCTGCCCCAGCTAGCTAAAACCAAATTGCTAGACCTGGGCTGTGAAGGCATCAGGAAATTTCCAAGTCTGGGCACTGGCGGTCCCAGCAAACACCAGATCTGGATGATGCTGATGCCAGAACCTGGAAATATCCAAACTTTGGCTTTCTGTGCCAGCAAATCCCTGGACTTGGGCTGTGCCAGCACCAGGAAGTTTTCAGATCTGGGCGCTGGCGCTGCCAGCAAACACCAGATCTGGGTGGTGTCATTGCCAGTGACAGAAATCTGCCAGATTTGGGCTCTGCTGGCACCGGGAAATTTCCAAATCTGGGCACTGGTGCAGCAAACGCAAGATGTGGGTGGTGCCAGACCCAGTAGCAGGAAGCTGCCACAGGTTTTAGCTTTCTGTGCCAGCAAATTGCTGGACATGGGTGGTGCTGGAACAGAGAAATTTCCAGATCGGGGCACTGGCAGTGCCAGCAAACACCAGTGAAACCTTCTGGTCCTCGTCCGGACCGTTGACTAGTGGTTTCCCTGAGAACCAGCTCTGGCCACTTTACAGACAGAGATGGCTTTCATCTGGTTGTGTGGAAACAGAACTTTACTGAAGGCAAACACAACAAACAGGATGGCGTGCACAGTACAGAGAGTGAAGCAGAAAAAAGCCTGGGTCCAGGATCTAGCAGGGATATTTATACATTTATTTATGGGGAGGGGTTAAGGTGGGATCTGAGAGAAGGATCCAATAGGAAGGAATGATTAAGAATATTACAATTTTGCAGCAAAAAGTAACCAATGGTAGCAAAGAGAACTCAGAACTTTCTAGTAACAATCTGCATAACTGAACAAGAGGATTATGGGAGGGAGCTCCTGCTCACCCTAAAGAGGGTTTTCCCACAGCCTTAAGCCGAGGTCTCCTTCTTTTAAACCAACCCAAACACAGCAGATCTGGGCGCTGCAAAGTTTGGGCTTTCTTTGCCAGAAAATTGCTGCCTTTGGGTTTTGCTGGCATCGGGAAATTGCCAGATGTGGGCACTGGCAGTGCCAGTGCACACCAGATCTGGGTGGGGAATGTGCTGGCACCGGGAAATTGCCAAATGCGAACCTTCTCTGCCAGCAAATTGCTGGAATTATGCTGTGCAGGCATCTTAAAATTTCCGGATCTGGGCACTGGCGGTGTCAGCAAACATGAGATTGGGTTGCTTTAAATACCTTTTAAATCCAGGTATTTGCTTGATTTAGGCTTTCTTTGCCAGCAAATTGCTGGAATTGGGCTGTGCCAGCACCAGGAAATTGCCATGTTTGGACACTGGCAGTGCTGGAAAACACCAGATCTGGGTGGTGCCAGCCCCAGGTATCTGCCAGGTTTTGGATTTCTGTGCCAGCGAATTGCTGCACTTGGGCTTTGCCAGCACTGGGAAATTTCTGCATCTGGGCAATGGCAGTGCTGGGAAACTCCAGGTCTGGGCAGCAACAGAGCCAGCAGTGGAAAATTGCCAGATTTTGGGGGTTTTTGCCTGCAAATTGCTGCACTTGGGCTGCACCAGCACCAGGAAATTTCTGGATCTGGGCACTGGCAGTTCCGGGCAACACCAGTTTGTGAGAGCTGAAATGAGGGATGTGGGACTCCAGGCGGCTCTTCAAAGTGCAGTTTATTGTATCCAAGGTGATACAGCAGTCCAGAGTCATGGGTGACAGAGCCTGTGCCTACAGCTTTCAGCTCCAGCTGCAGGCCTGGAGACCCTTAGTTTAGGTTACAAATGCATTATATACTTTTCTTTGATGAGCATCTTCACAAAATAGAACCAATCTATACCTTAACTTTTACCTATAGCCAATAATAACTACTATCATTACCATATTCATGTTACTGTTCTCCAATCACTAAAAGTTAGTACATTAAAGTTTAAGCTAAAAGTTGTTTTCCAGTTTTCTTGCAGTGGAAAATTCTGAGACCTTTTTTCCTACTTGCAAAATTTGCTGACTTGTTTGCCTGTGCTATCTTTCTGCTTGGTAAAATCTTCTTGTTTGAGGTGGGCTTATCCTTTGCTCTAAGTCATAAAAACCCCTTCTAACTAACATACACTTTGCCTTCTTAGCTATCCAAAAAGACTGGCTCATCAATTCTTTTCTTTTATATCAAAACTTGCTTTCATTTATATTCGTCTTCAGACATTACATTCAAAAATCTTTCAGCCAAGTATACATATCTGTGAGACTTTCTTGTCAAACTGCATCCCTGTATAGTGGTCAAGTGCTTGAGGCCAGGAGCACCTGGACAATGGGAACAGTTCTTTCCTATAGGAAGGAAATCACAGAACTCCAGGGTTTTGAAGGCACATGAGAAGCAGTCCCCAGAGACCAAGGCAAGCCAGACCTGTCTGTCCTTGCAGCTTTTGTCTGAAAGCAACCCTTGGATATATGGGGAGTTTTGGGGTGGAATTCCATTTCAGCCATGGGTTCCTGGACAGGAATGACAGTTCTCCATAGAGGGGCAAGGGCCCCTCACAGCTGCTCATGGTCCCTCACAGCCCCACATGGCCCCTCACAGCCCCTCACGGCCCCTCACAACCCCTTGTGAGATGCAAAGCTGTGTTTCGTGGTACAAACAGGCAACGTGTGTACTTGTGAATGAGAAATGTGTGGATACCTACAATGGGATAGTTGTGAATTCTAGTAATAACTGAGGAAAATAAAGCTATGAAAAAGACTTTTGAACCTATCTTTTGTTTGCAAATTAACCCTAGTTGATTTAGGAGCATTTGAATTAAAGTGTTATAGATGTTGCTTTTTGCTTGCATTTAATCCATAAAGAGTTCTGCAATAATAACCTTTTGAAGTATAATTTTAGAATATTACTTGTATTATTGAAACTGTAGCTTTGGAATATATATAAAGGAAATATGCTTATCTCACGCCTTATTGAAACAGAGAAAAACAGCTTGAAAAA